GGGGTTGGGGGGTTCGGGGGATTATTTTTGTCCCTTTGGTCTGTGCCTGTTTGTCTGTTTGCTTTTGTTTGTTTGTTTTCTATGAGGGAGGGGGTATTGTTTTTGTTTTTAATGTGTTTGGTGCAGTTTGTAAGAGCGTGCCCCAGCCTGTCTGTTAAATGATATAATTTTTGTCAATGAGGACGTACAAAACATCCATCCACAATTACAAATACGATAACGCTGTCAAATGGCCTATGGTTAGGAAGGTGGGTAAGGGCGAAAGATTTGTTCACAACCTACTTTTATTTAGGAAATCAAACCTTATCCTTCTAACAAACTCTAATGGCCACATGTAAAAAAGAACTTGCTTGTAAAAAGTAAAGCCATTTTCCACTTTGACCTGTCCAAGGCACCCACCTGTCTAAGACAGCAATACTTTAACAATAGCAAAGGGTGATTGTTATGGACAATTTCATAATAGTTTTCATAAATTTTTAATTAAATTTAAAGAATATTTAAAATATTCTCCTAAAAGCGTACCTAGTGTCAACACTGTTTTAGAATACTTTGGCCTATAATTTGTTTATTATGTAATTGTGAGGCAGCGTAGGAAAATCAGACGCTCGTCAAAACAACTAAATTAGAAAAAAACATAACTTTTGTACATGAGTTTGGGCAATTTATTTCAATTTTTTTTTTTTTTTTTGCTTTCCTTTTATAAACGTATTATTTATTAATATACTTTTATATCGATATAATATGTTACAGAACAAAGGTCTGTTACAGGTATAGAAAATGTAGTTGTCCATTTCCAAGGACACTCAAGCTTTGGAAGTCACCAAACTTTGGCAGCCTTTTTCTAGCTAATTTTACCTCTCACACCAGAAGACTTCTAACCTCTTTCAATCGCAAACATTTTAACTTTTATACGAGATAGATAGGCAGTTTTCCCCCAAATGAAAGACAAATAAACAAGCTTTAAGATGATATTAAAAACTTTATATTATCATGCCCAAAAAGGACGAGCACCTGATTCCAACGCGTCATGACACATTTGCTACTGACACTACGAATCTGATTTGAATACGTAATATCCAAAAAACAGGGGTTTCCATATTTTGTCTTTCTTTTTTCGAAATGGGACGTTAGTAGTCTAGTTCTTTGTTTGATCTAATATGATTTTTACGGCACTTGCAGCACAATAAGACTGCACAGGAAGTCTACAATTTACTCGGTTATTGTTCAACATTGGGACTTTTTAATTGTAAATATTTTTTAAAATCCATCAACTTGTTATAGAAATACCAAATTTTAAGAATGTCAATCAACCCAAGCTGGGTGGAAAGCAAAATTTTCACTTTTTAAAAGCGTTCATCTACAAGGTCGTGATCGTTCCAGTCTGTTTCCAGAAAAAATACAGTAAAATAAGTTAGATGTCTCACAGTGCTGAGAAAATGGTGGAGAGGTTTGGAGAGGAGAAGGTGATAATAAGTTTTTAGAGACCTGGTTTCTTGTGGGATGAGACAAAATATCAACCAAAGTGTTAAAAAATATAGTTTTCAAATTTCAAAGTAAACTAAATGAAGTGGAAAACTTTGCGGCTTAAAAAAATCAACCATTTTGTTCTGTTTCAAATGGTCACTATTTGTGCTTTGAAGAACAATTGACATTGCTAAATATACTCATGGAGGCGATGGCTATATACATCTCCAGATGCTGACCATTTTTGCTCATCGCCATACAAGTCTAGAGTGGCCCTTGTGTGGTTGCAAGAAAGTTTTGGGTAACATCGTATAAACAGAAAGTCTAGAAATGAATGGTCACCACATTCAATTGAATTTTGGCCCATTCATTTATTACTTTTGCTGTCTTTTTTTTTTTTTTTTTTACAGAAAGGTCTACGGAAACAAGCCACAACAAATGATCGAACAGTCGAAACAGCGCGTCCAAAAAATCGACCGAAAACATGTTATGGGATTATTCAAAATGTCCAGTGGCCTATTGTGGCTTCTACAGCGTGAAATTGCCAACATCTTCAGATTTAAATAACCATTACCTTCCTGGGTATATCTTTTTTTAAAATTACAAATGTGTTCTTCAATACACAAAGGTTGACTATTTGAAAAATGTGAGGCAGCTTAGTGGAATCAGGCTCTCGTCAATTTTTGGGCATGTAGAGTTATTGGTATCATCTTCAAGCTTGTTTAATTGCCTTTATTTGGAGAAAAAAAACATTATCCATTTATCTTGAATACAAGTCGAGATATTTGCGAAAGAAGGAGGTGGGGGTCACCTGTTTTCAGATGTAAAATTATTGAGAAAATGGCCGCCATAGATGAGTTATTTACTAAGCTTATCAATCAGTGGTAACTGAAAATTTACAATTTTTATGCCTTTGATCTACGTTATTCAGAAAAATCCACACAGAAATGAGTTCTTAAATGGGCATGAAAGGTGTTGAGCCAAAAAATGAAAATTTGATGAAAAATTGCAAACCTGTGGAAATAATGCAAGTTTCTTCACTTTGATTATTTTGACGAGAGTCTGATTCCACCACAATGCCTCACAAATTGCAAAAGTTTTACGCTTCACTCAATTTTGGTTGGAATTGTTAAAACTTTCTATTTTCCAAACATGATGTTTGGCTCTTTCTTTTGCCCCTTATTAACAGATGGAATGTTACCCTTGTAGAATTTTGTTTCTTCAAAGACAACGAGGATCAATAGAAATTCTGAAAATCAATTAAATCTAGTACAAAACACTATAATAAATTTATTCAAAATCGTAACAAGATAATATTACAACAAGAAGTATATTTTTTTAAACATAAAAAACACAAAAAAACAAAAATTTTTAAGTTATATCGAAATAGTTATCAAAAATTAAAACTCCTAGCAATAAGTGTCATGTACATCCTTCAGCCACGAACCTATGACGTTGCATTACGTGAACGTGAAGGGAACGGCAGAGCGGAGTCAGAAAAGAGACCACGGTGTCACAACGCGGTGAAATCAGGCGCTTGTCAATTTTGGTGCGAGAGGAGTTTCTGGTATCTTCTGAAAGCTTATTCATTTGCCTTACTTTCGATGACAAAAGTACCCATCTATAATGAATAGAAGGCGAGATATTTGTGATTAGAGGGGGAGGGGTAGCCTAATTTCATATGTAAAGTTAGTAAGAAAATGGCTGCAACAATTTCACATCTTCTTTAGCTTGGGAGTCCTTGAAAACTGAAAATTTACACATTATGCTGTGCCCTTAATCATTGGTTTTTTTTGTTTTTTCTTTTTAAGTAAAATTCACATGGTAATTTGATTTTATACGGACAGGAAATGCGTTGAGCAACAAAACAAAGGTTCGATTAAAAATGTCCAAACTGGCTTGCTTCTTTCATTTCATTATTTTGACGTGCACCTTATTTTAACGCGATTCCTCACATTTTTGCTTGTGTTTTGACCGAAAAACTGGACCACTGAATTGTCGTGAAGGTGACAAAGGGGAACCTAGTTCTTTTTTAACGAGAAATAGGTTACGGGTCGGCAGTCAGGGGTTAAGGTTCATTAACTTCCGACAAAGAAGGTCATGATTAGATTTGTCACGACGTGGTGGAATCAGGTTCTCGTCGATTTTGGTGCACGTAGCGTTATTGATTATTGTAAGCGCCTGTGCATTTGTCTTACTTTCGATAACAAAAATACCCATCTATCTTAAATAGGAGTCGAGATATTTGTGATTGAAGCAGGTGGGGATAGCCTTATCTTTTGGCCTTATTTGAGAGCTAAAATTAGCACTATAGTTTGGTGTTTTCTATAGCTTGAGAGTTTTTGAACACTGAACAGTTAAATATTTTGTTTCATTTATAGACGTTCTTAGTAAATTTCCAATTGAAATGTTATTTTATACTGTTATAAAAGTTGTTGAGCAACAAAACAACAATCCAAATCAGAGATAAAATGCAAGTTTCTTTGATTTCATGATTATGACGAGGTTTCTTGGATTTCATGATTATGACGAGGTTTCTTTGATTTCATGATTATGACGAGGTTTCTT